ACTAATGCCCATACAAAACCTATAAAAAAAAGTTCACAGCATTATTCATAATCGCCAAAGAGTGAAAACAACCTAAATGTCCATAAACAGATGAATGGGTGAGTAAAATACAGTATATTCATACAATAGGATATTATATAAGTAAAAAGAAATAAAACACTGATGCATGTTATACATGCATGAACCTTGAAAAACATTATGCTTTGTGAAAGAAGCCAGTCATAAAAGACCACATATTGCATGATTCCATTTATAATGAAATGTCTAGAAGAGACAGAAAGTAGTGGAAGGCTGCTCAGGGCTGGGTAGTGGGAGAGTTGGGAGGAAACGAGGAATCAGTAATTACTGAGAGACACGGTGTATCTTTTTGGGGTGATAAATACATTGTAAAATTGATTATGATGGTTACACAACTCTGTGAATATTCTAAAAAAAAAAAAAAGCCACTGAATTTTACACTTTACATCTCAATAAAGCTATTTCAATAATTTTAAGAAGTAAAACAGAGCCTGTGTTCGATGAATTGTAGATCACTGAAACATAGCAATAAAAAGTGAAAACTGCTAGTAAAAATGAACTACATCCTCTGTTTTAGTATTTCCTCCCTTTACTTGCTCAAGTACTAAATAAAAAATCAAAACCCACACCAATGATTTTATTGTAGTCTCTACTTTCAAAAAGTAGTAACAATCTCTGTCCCATTTGCATGCTCCTAAAACTAATACAAAATATACAAGGGGCAGCAATCCCACCTGCTAGAGCTCCATAAAGGTACAGCCTGACTTTCATCCACTCAAGCCAGCTGAGCTGGTGTGAGAGGCCCTGAGGTAGTAAGCCATGCTAACCAACAGCTCAGCACCTCCAACTCAGCCGGTAATATGAAAACATTTATGAATCTACAGAGTCCTCAAAGCAGAGCCCTTGCAAATCTTATAGGCCAATTATGTTATCAATGGTAAGAGCTGAGGCCAAGCAAATATATCTACTATTTATAAGAAATACTTAAGTATAAAACCAAATTTCACCCAAATTATCTATCATTTTCTATGTGTATGGCTCTACAGATGAATAAAACTTTTTCTTAGATGTATCATAAAGTTTGGTTTACAAACATTAACTCTTACATTGTAATTTTTTAATTTTTTAAAACATATTTTTACTGATTTCAGAGAAGAAGGGAGAGAGAGATAGAAACATCAATGATAAGAATCATTGATTCGCTGCCTCCTGCACACCCCCCTACTAGAGAATTGAGCCTGAAATCCAGGCATATGTCAGGGACCCTTTAGTCCATAGGCTGTCACTCTATTCACTGAGCCAAATCAGCCAGGGCATTGTAATTTTTTAAAAACTCATAATTAAACTCAGCTTTACTATAAAAAACTATATTTCATTTTTACCCCAAAGACACAACAACAACAAAAACCCTGAAAGATGTACAGGCATGTGTTTCCTATACAAACAAATAATTCAATCTATTAGCAAAGTAGGATACTTTTTTAAAATAATGGTCAGGTTTCTTCAAAACCTGAAAAAGAATTAAACAATAACTTCCTCTAAAAATGTCTTATTATTACCTACCTAAACTGACTGATATAATTCAGGGAGATTTTATATCCACAACAAGTTCAATACTTCAACACAGGCTTGTTAGCTCTTTCAATGTGATTACAACAATTGCTTAACTGGGCATCATGTAAGAGGTGCACCAAAATTCAGAAGTTCCATCTCGGACCTGCCATACACACAGAACTGGGTTGTTCTAGTCTGTTAAGGTTCCAGAAAATAACACTAAGCCACACTTTAAGTGGAATGTGACACCCACCCTCTCCCACTGAGACAACTGATAAAAATCCTCCTCCACTCCAATTGCCTAAACAGCTAAACCCACAGATGTCCCCTCACAAATAATCTTTTACAAAGATTTACAATGAAAAAATAAATTCGCAAATTTAAGATGACACTGTAAACTTTTCTTTATCTGTGATAGCAAGATCGCCATTACCCAAGGAACCAAAAGGTTCTGAGGAGCATACCAGGTAAGACAAAAAGGGAGGACTAGGGGAATGGAATTTTTGACTCCTTCTATGAGATAGATAGCTTTAATTTACTAGACTTTTAGAAATTAAGTCATTATAACCATTAGGTCAGGTGTGCATTCAGCACAGAACTTTAAAAATATCAACTACAAAAGCACTGTTAAACTTTATGCCAAAAATAAAACAAACCAAAAGTATGCTATATATAACTTCTCTTCCTGAAGATAGTAACCACATTCTCAATGAAATACAGATAGGCAGATTTACTATAAACCACAATCAAATATTTGACACCAACTAATACAAAAACCACAGTAATCCACTTAACAAACACACTGAACACATCTGTATCAAGTAGCACAAGCACATAGAGAATATAGAACTAAACACATTTACCAATCAGCAACAGCCCAAAGGATCCTTTATTTGCCAAAGGGGAGCACCACATACATGAAGGTGGTGGACAGGATCTTTACCTCTGCTTGATTCAGTCTAATCCACTACTTTGGACCAATAAATGGAGCCAAAGCCACTGCGCCATAAACTTCAGCCTCACTTCTAAAGCAAACTTATTGGTATCCAATCTTCATACCATTAAGTGGATTTCCTTGCAAAGTCCCATAAGCAAACAGATTAATCAAAGTAGATACAGACACACCTCATTTTATATTGCTTCACTTTACTGAGCGTCACAGACATGCCTTTTACAAATTGAAGGCAAGACCTTCTACCAGCAAAAGATTATTACTTGCTTTATTGTGACACTCCCTTTATTACGGTGGTCTGCAACAGAACCCACATTATCTTCAAAGTATGCCTGTACCATTCTACAATGATGTATATGACAATTATATCTCAATAAAACTGGGAGAGGGGGAAATACAACTAAATGGGTATCTTTCCTGAAACTGTTTAAAGAGCTTATTATGTATAACTTCACATTTAAAAATGCTGTTTATAAAAAGCTTATGTAACCAGTAATGATATCATTAACTAAAAAGGCTCAATGAAAAAGTAAATCTCCAAATTTAAGATGACTCTGTAAACTTTTCTTTTTTACTTTAAATAGAACCATGGTTTAATTATTTTATTTAAATAATAACCATTATGAAATTTCTTTCCTCAGACTTAAGTTTCAGGCATGTTTACAATATGTTGGCTTAATCAAAGTTAAATTATCTGTAACAAATCAGGGCTAAGTTAGAGTAATGTATTAGAAAATGATATATCTGATAGCAAAATTGCAGTCTAACCATCACATAATATATTGTGTGGATTTCATTTATCAAAAATAAGTCTTAAACAAGCTCATTTAAACAAAGTAGTTTATTTTGCCAATAATCTGTTGTCGAAATTTAAGCAAGTACATAAGTTGCCTATCAAAATCTATTGTTTGTAAAAAGGTTACAAAAATAATATATGTGGTAAAACACAGCTTATTTAAAAACAAAAATTCAAACAAGTAAGGCAAATGCCATCCTAAGAAATGAGATTTTAGGTTTCTTCTGAAATCCATTTACATGAATTGACCACCAAAGCCTAAATAATGATCTGTCAATCTGAAATAGCTTTGCTGTAACATGTCTTAAATGTGACAACTGTCTTAATTGTTCAATGGTCTTACCTAACAAAGAAACATGTTCTATTAAGTGAAACATTCTTTGAACATTGTTGCAAGTTTATATACTGTATACGACTCTCATGTAAAGAACTAAATTAAATTCACCACCAACATAATAAGCCTTAATAGAATTTTTCCTACACAAAACAGTTGTCCACTAGCCAAACTATCAATATAGCCATCTGCAAAATTTTCCATTTCATTAATATCTATAGTTTCTATCTTTACTTTCACATAAAAATAAGACCAGTGAATCGGCAATCAGACCAAATTCTATTGCAGTCAATACTGGAAACACTTTCCTGTAATCTACCCTCTCACCTTCAATCCACAAGACTACCTACCAATTTAAACTATAAAAACTCTGTGTTGGCCTGGTTCCAACACTGACCTCAGATCACACAGCAAGAAATGTCTTACAATAGCCAAACAGCCATCTTCCAACTACTGCACCAGACTGAAGATACAGCGTAAAGTTGGAGGTTATTTTTCTCCTCTTCCTCTGTGTACCTGTGAATCATTAATCATTTCCAGGCAAGGACTTGTACTTCCTATAAATAAATTCTGACCAGAAAATTGATGACATGTGGTCAGAAAGGAGAGTGTTTTAAATTTAACATCATTGCTTCAGATCACCCATTCTTACTTAGTCACAACTGATGACTATAAGAAATAATGTAGCCGAAACCGGTTTGGCTCAGTGGTAGAGTGTTGGTCTGCGGACTGAGAGGTCCCAGGTTTGATTCCGGTCAAGGGCATGTACTTTGATTGCGGGCACCTCCCCGGTAGGAGGTGTGCAAGAGGCAACTGGTCGATGTTTCTCTCTCATCGACGTTTCTAGCTCTCTATCTCTCTCTCCCCTCCTCTCCGTGAAAAATCAATAAAATATATTAAAAAAAAAAAAAAAAAGAAATAATGTAAACCAGGAAAAACAGTTTAATGTTTTGCCACTTTAAAAAATCAATTTCCAACAAGGTAACAACTGAATAATTATCAAACCGCAAATATTTTAGTTCCACTATTATTCTACCATTAAAGAAATCATTTAAGGCTCCAACACCTCTTCAAGTAAAATATAATTGTATTTGTTACCCTATAATTTCATTATCTTATTGTTATTGCATTATGCTTTTTGGCAACTCCATTCTCCCACTACAGACATACTTGCTGAATATTCCATTCATGCACAGAAATAATAACCACCACTGTCTTCAACAGTCACTTAAATCCAAACCCATTGTTTTTACTAATAATAAAAATGCAATATTTGCACATCAAACCAACAGTTCAATGATAACTCTGCAAAAGGAGAGAATAAATAAAAATCCACAAGTACTTACCTACAGTTGGGAGGAGGATCCAACGTAATTTCTGCAAGTTCCTTCTGAATTCTTTAAAATAAAGACAAAAATGTTATGTTAAAATGTCTTTCCTCTTTTAACATGTCATTAAAAATATACTTTTACACTAAGATTTTCATTTGTATGTTTTTAATTTGAAATAATAATACTGTATAAATCATTATATACAATAACAAAACAGGACAAATTTTTACCAGTTTTGACAATGCACCTACAAAAGGGTAACAAGACTGGCCACTATCTCTTCATGCAGGCTGTGGAAAGCAGCACTGTGACTTAAAACGTCTTCAAACCACTGAACTGATAACACTAACCAAATGTTCTAGTTTAAATTGGAAACTTGTGCCGTATTATATAAGGGTCATTCTGATTTGTACTAGAACATTCCCATATAGGATGAAAAGATGATCAGATTAAACTGAATCCGACCATCCTGGTTGATCCAATCAATTGAAGAAACGATTATCAGCATCACATTTCAACACCTGCAACTACTATCAAAATACATATGGTATACGTCTCGGAAGCACGTAGGTTGGAACAGGTTGAGTGAGGCTTTCAAGTTTGGCACTACTCAATCTTCTGCTAGAACTATTCTAATATGTGAACCTTTATTTTAATGTCACTGCATGAACTTCATTTAAGAAAAACAGAGAACTTTTTTAAAAACTGTTATTTTCTTAGATTTTTTAAGTGTACCTAACCCCTATATACATATACAAAGGCTAATAGTGCTATATTTAACAAGCTCTCAAATATTACTCATGCATTATTAAACGTAGGCTTTATTAAACCAAATACAAAAAAAAAAAATTCTCAGAAGCATTTCTTCTTCTTTGTCCTGTTTTTTAAGTATGATTCACTACTGCTGGATGCCTGCTGTCTGGTAATTACTGTGATAGTATATGGGATGATAGATGACTCCAGTGCCTTAAAAAACAAAAATGTGAACAAAAACATTTATTCTCAATTTCATTCTACATATTTTTCAAGACAAAAAAAATGGAGCTACCAAAATAGATGTGACTCCTCCAAGAGGACTGGCACCAACTCCCCAAAGAAATCGCATGCTGCTAATATAATTTTCACTTCTCTAAGCCATGTGATTCGATGTTGGGAAGGCATTATAAAGTAGAGCAAGACTGATAAGTTAAAAGTCAAAACATTTTTCATTTTAATCCTGCCATGCCATTAATTGAGAGTTCTTTGAGGGGAAAGGGGAAACTGCTCAAACTGCTCTTTCTCTCTTTCTCAGCCTCAGTTTTCTGTCCTATAAAATGAAGGAGTTCTCCAGGACAAACTGCATGATCTTTTTTATTTTTAAAACATTATTTTTGCCCTGGCTGGTTTGGTTCAGTGGATAGAGCGTCAGCATGCTGACTGAAGGGTTCTGGGTTCGATTCTGGTCAAGAGTACATGCCAGGGGTTGTGGGCTCCATCCCCAGTTGGGGGTGAGTGGGTGAGTGCAGGAGGCAGCTGATCAATAATTCTCATTCATCATTGATGTTTCCACCTCTCTCTCTCCCTCTCCCTTCCTCTCTGAAATCAATAAAAATATATTTTTTAAAAACATAATTTTCTCCTAATATGGATTCTATGATGTATTTACATGCACATAAAGCACAAATTGCCCACGATTAAACAAGTGACATCTCAAATATCTGATACAGGAGACCACACAAGATTATACAACAATGGGTAAGTCCAGGTTAAAAATAGGAAACTGAGCACACACACATTTACCTCCCACTATTTCAGGACCACACCTGGTAAAAGGAGATATAGAAAGTGAAAAAAAGAACAATCAGCAAAAAAATACGGGGGAGATCAACAATAAATGAGAAACGTCAATGTATTTCTGGAAGATGAAGTGGATGGTGTAAATTAAACAGGTTGAGATGGCAAGAGGGGGCCGCGGAGTGCATGAAGATATAATAAAGAGACATTATTCAAAGGGGAAAAAGACAGAAATCTCAGAAGAAAAACACCTCTGTAAGAAATCACAGATCAAATATAAAGCTATCTAAAATGTAAAATAAGTTTAATTAAATAATAGGTGTTAAGGGAGGGGGGGAGATTTTATATATTTTGCTTAAATGTTATGACTCACTGGGTAACCTAGAGATCATGGCATTGGCCATGTAGAAAATCTAATCCTAATGTTCTGTTTGATCTGGCACTGAATATTTAGTTATAATAAATGTTCAGACAATTTATTGGTCTTTTATTATAGATAAAGCACAGAAGATGGGTTGTAGTTGCACTACACAATGTAATTGTGACTAACCTTGATAATGTAAAATTAAGTATAGTTAATAGAAACCAGTTAAAAGTGGATGGAGGATGGATGTGAGTAGATGGAAAGGAGAATAGATATTAATATCCCCAAAGTAGGAAACCAAGAAATTGTTGAAATTTGAAGGAATAAGAAACAGTGACTATTTTTAACTAGGAGGAGTGAAAAGGAAGGAGGAATAGGTAAACAAGCTACATCCTCAAATTTCATAGCAAAGAGTCAAAACGTATTATTCATGTTAACAATTCAACAGATAGATATAAGTGTATTTTTAGATTTCTGCAGAAAACTAACAGAAAAATTACACCCAGAGACAGCTAAAAAGAGTTTGCTTCAAGGAAATAAAATTAGGATAGAAGGGTGTTTGGACAGAATACTGTTGCTTTCCATTAAAAATGTCTCTGTAATATTTAATTTGTTACCAGAAACATGAATTACTGTTACAATTTGTTTTTAAACTAAGAGGAACAAAAGAATAGGCATTCAAAAGAGCATGTCAAAGGAAACTATTTGTAACATAAAAGAACTTCTTTGGGAATTTTCAAATAACTCATCTTTCTTTATGTTTGCATTGTCCCTTTTAGTTTAGAAAAATTGATATAATTTTCTGCCATAGAATCCTATTTTGGAACTTGAACCCCTCCAGACTCTATAATTCCAAATCTAATTATTTAATACAAAAAGCAATTAACTGATAAACTTGACAACTCTGAGCAATGAGATAATATATTATACCTAAAAATGGTTGTATTTCTCTTGACAAAAAAAAAAAAATTATACTAAGAATTGGTATGTAAATGGTTGCAAGATGTCCTGCTGTTTTCAACGACAGCAATTCAATTCTATCTCAAAAGTTGTGATTATAGTATATATTAAGTTTCTCAGTCTTGACATTCGGGGATAAAGAAGATAGCTATTTCAGGCATTGTCCCTTAGAGTGAGGAAAAATGAAAAAGTATCAATAATTCACACTTACAGTGTACCTTTCACATGATGATCTTAAACCATTAAAAGTGAATTAATCTCACAGAATTCTCTAAGTATTACTGGTTTATCAGTCCACATTTAACAAATAAGAAAACTAAGGGTAGTTATTATAAGCTGCTAAGATGAAAGGCAATCATCTTGTTAAATCAAACAAACAAAAAGACCTCTCTCTTAACAGAACTTTTAGGACAAAATTATTTCTTTAGATGTAAATCAACTAACTAGACAATTGCTTAAATTTCTCATTTCCACCTGGCAGTGCCACTTATATGGTTATTATGATACAGAATTCGGCAACTGCACGTAGTTTCTGAAAAAAGTCAGAAGCAAAATACAGACTAAATTTCAGTGTCTAAGATTTCACCTAAAACCTGAACTACTCCAGGTACCATAAAAGTACTGCCTGTGAATGTCATTGCTAAAAAAGAAGGAAGAGTGGACGGACAGTGACAGGGAAATAACAATCTTAATTCATTGAGACTTAATTGAAGAATAGATAACAATACTAGTGGCCCGGTGCACAGACTCATCATGCACATTAAAAGGAAAATAATTAGAAGGTGGGTGGCTCAGTGGGAGTGGGCAAGACAGGCTGGACATGCCCTGAAGCCGACCTCCCCAGGTTCCTCTCCTGCAGGGTGCCACCAGCTCCAAGGGCATCGAAGACTGAGTGTGGACCCTCTGGCAGGTGGGGATTCCTTAGCCTGGTCTCTGGGGATCAGGTTGAAACTGGCTCTCAGACATCCCCAAGGAGTCCCGGAGTGCGAGAGGGCACTCTGCAAAGTTGCTGACATACAGGGTGTGGAACGCAAACGCAAGTGTGTAGTAAATCAAATTCAGGCAGACAGTGTCCCAGCAACAACATAACCCATTGCCAAGGTGGAATCCCGCAAGCCCTGGGAAGAATCAGGCCCTCTCCTCTCTGGTTCCGGGGTGCACCAGCAGCTCCTGAATTGAGTATCTGCCCCCTGGTGGTCAGTGGTGTCATACCTAACAGACAGTAGGACAGTTGCTTAGTCTTTTAGATAGATAGATAGATAGATAGATAGATAGATAGATAGATAGATAGATACATAGATTGATTATACAAAATGGAGACAATATGAAGTACTCATTTTAACACCAACATAATACGATAGATTAATAGTTCAGAAAAATTAAGCAGTGCAGATGTAGTGACATGTTTAAAACACACATATTTTAGGTTAAAATATTTTCAATAATTCATTCAGGGCCAAGTAGAACATGTGGACCTGGGAATTTTTACAAAGGTGATTTTTTGACAGTTAAACAAAAGAAAAAACACCCTTCCCACCCAGATGACTTTCTATATTCCCCTACAGACTGCATTCTCAGTCCCTTGAGAACCCCTATTCTGACCAATTGAATCAACTAGTCAAAGCTTCCAAAATGAACTTACTCTCAAGAAGAAAACATCATGCAACTAATTACTAAAAATTTTAAAATATCATAGGAGCATCTGAATTAACTTAGAAAACACAGAGCCATTGCAAATAATAAACCTAGAGTTGAATCCTGAATGGTGACACAGTAGACACCCCCATTATCTACATGGGATACTGTCCAAGAACCCCAGTGGACGGATGCCTGAAACTTCAGGTTGTAGAGAAGTGTAGATGTACTAAGTTTTTTTCCTATACATATATACCTATGATAAAGTTTAATTTATAATAGGCAATTCCATAGGTAGAAGAGTAGTTCTTATCACAGATCTTAACAACTTCAGCATATGATTTTTTTTCTTAAGTTGAAAATTTTCACCTTTTCACTTACAGTAACACTTTATGGCTTATCCTTGTCATATTGGAATTGTCAGCATCACTACTCTTGCACTGTGAAGCCATTATTAAAAAAAAATAAGGGTAACTTGAACACAAGCACTGGGATACCACAACAGTCTATCTGATAACCTAGATGGCTACTAAGTGACCAAAGAACAGGTAGACAAAAGGATGATAAAGTCCCAAATGGGAGTCAGATTTCATTCTATTACTCAGAACAGTGTGCAATTTACAACTTGTGAATTACTTCTAAAAATTTTCAATTGCTATTTTTAGACTGTGGTTGACTTCAGGTAACTGAAACTGCAGGAAGAGAAACCACAAACAAGAGGAAACTACTGTATATACAGGTGACCTCTGAACAACACTGGGGTTAGGGGCACCAAACACCTCACAGTCAAAAATCCATGTGTAACTTTTAACTCCCCCAAAACTTAACTAACCTCCCTTGGTATCATAAAAGATTGGTTCCAGGACCACTCTCATATCAAAATGAAAAAAAAAATTTTTTTTTTATTGATTTCAGAGGGGGAGAGAGAAAGAGAAAGAGAGAGAGAAAGAAAGAGAGACAGAGAGAGAGACAGAGAGAGAGAGAGAGAGAGAGAGAGAAACATTAATGATGAGACTCATTGATGGGCTGCCTCCAGCACAACCCCACTAGGAATCGAGCCCGGAACCCGGGTATGTGCCCTAACAGGGAATTGAACTGTGACCTTCTGGGTTCATAGGTTGACAACCCCGGAGCCACGCTGACCAGGCAAGACCACTGATTTTTAAGACACTCTCAATTAATTGATTGTGTACATCAACTGTAAGGTGCATCCTGATTTCAGAAACATTAGTAAGTTTTAAATGTACATTTAAAATCAAGAAAATACAATAATTAGAAAAATATGTCTATAAAGAATACTACTTCATTCTCATGTGGAAAACAAACTCAGATCAGCCCATATAATAAAAGTTCACACGGAATACACTAAAATCCACTTTGCAACCTAACTAAAATTTACAGCCTAAAACTAAGTATCATTCTTAGAACAGTATTATATTGTGTCCAATACAATCTCAATGTCTAGTCTGAACAAAGTTAATCTGGAATAAATGTGATTTAAAATTCCCATTTACAGATGGGTCAATACGTAAAAGAAGTAGTACAATCATTTCAATAAAGAGATCAAAGCAGATGTTTTATGAAATTGATGAGACAATTTAATATCATCAAAACTTGTCACCGCAGACATACATAGTCCCACTACATACCTGCAAATATAATAAGAGTGATACAGACATGTTTCTACACCAAATTATTAATTTTACAAATACAGTACATTTCATGCAATTGAGCACTGCTGTACTAAGTACTTTTCTTGAGTTACTATAAAATGTATATAATTATAGCATCTGAGTGTTTCTAGTTTAACAACAGCATTAAGTTTATCATTTTCCTAAGGTTTATCAAATGGACTTAAAAATGTTATTATTGCTGGCACAAAGTCTATAAATGACAGGATCAGTATATGACACCTTACTACATACCAAATAAATGTTTTATCACATTCAGTCCTCACGACAGCCCTATGATGATGATGTATTGTGTCCATTTTACAGAAGAGGAAACTGAGGCTTAGAAATGTTAAATTATGTCTCTAAGATCACAGGGCTACTAAATGCCAGAACCTAGACTCAAACCCAGATCCTATCTCTAGAGTCCAAGCTCTGCACTGCTTCTGATTAACTGTCTTTCATAAAATGACACTAACTAAAAAAGAATTCTCATCTGAATAAAAATCAATTATCAATAATGAAATATAAATTAGAATTTCATTTTGAAATTACTAATTTTGAATCTTCTGAACACATTAGGACCCAGTTCCTAATATCCATGGTCATTCCAATCCCTACAATAAATTCAAAGGTCTAAGGCAACCAGTAAATAAATATTATGACCCTACTATACTAGGCCTGTGAACACAATAGTGAATTACAAAGATGTAGGACCCTATCCTCATGATTCCCAATTTCTTTCTCAGGTTTTAGAACTTAAACAGAGGAAAAAATAATAACTTCACTACCAACTAAACTGGGGAAAAGGAAGAATTAAGCGTTTTTGGTTTTTTTTCTTACTTAAAAAATTAATAGTGAAGCAGCATTTTTATATTGAAAACAAATGGTAAATTACTTAGTTATTCACCATAAACTATTCAGAGACCACCTAGAGGAAGGTAATGAATCAAATTTGAAAATTACAGATTCACAAGAATGAAATTGCCAATGGATTCTTTCAGCCAAGAAGCAACTCAAAAAATATATGTGTCCTGGTCGGGTGGCTCAGTTGGTTGGAGCATCATCCTGTACACCACAAGGTTCCGATTCAACTTCTGTTCAGGGCACATTCCAGGTTTCGGGTTCAGTGCCCAATCAGGGAGTTTATGGGAGACAACTGATCTATGTTTGATCTATGTTTCTCTCTCACATGAATTTTTCTCTTTCTCTTCCCCTCTCTCATTCTCTCCCTTCCTCTCTCTAAAATCAATAAACATATCCTCTAGTGAGGATAAAAACAATTATATGTATTACTTTCACCAATGCAAAAATACCAATTTTTATTACATGATAATCAGATACACACACACCATTTTATCCCCTATTTAAAGGGTAGGGGGAGAAAAATTAGGTTTCAATATATAATCTACACCTTGTACACACTGTAAAAAAATGAAGTAAAAGATGACCCATGTACTTGAAAAATATCACGTAATCTTCACTTTCACACATTATACAGTTTACTCTCTTTCTTAAGCAGAATTTGGTATTTGCTACAACACCCAAGAAATATGATTTTTGAGGTATTTTGTGGTGGTGCTGCCAGCCAAGGGAAAAGACAGGGCCTCATGAACACCGACAGGCGTCTTTGCCGACTAGCAGTCCTGGGCAAGCAGAGCACAGACCTGGCAGAAGCCCTGTCCAGATCCTGCAGCCCCTCCTCTCCCTTTTCTGACAAGCTGAAGAGGACTGTAAAAACCCTCATTAGAAACTGAGGACTGGATTACAGTTTCCTCATTTACACAGGGCCTCAATCTGTTCTTGAATATCTCTTACCCACCCTCCCCCAAACTCCTTTCTTTCATCTAATTTTCACATTTTCTCCACTCCCACCTTTCTAATCCATCCTAATTCCACCCCCTATTTCCCAGTAGCAGGTCATCTTGTGTTGTGGCCAAGTAGCAGAGGGGTAGGGTCAGCCAACTGAAGCTCTCTGGACTTGTGGTGTGATAGCAAAAATAAACTGAACCCTTTCCCCTACACTAGCAAGTTCTAGTATAGAGGTTTAAAGTTCAAGTCTGACTTTCACACAACTCCTTCAACAGAGGTCAGGAATCAGCAATACACTTCTGGGAAGGGGAAACTGACCACTCTAGTCCATGGAATGCTGACCCCTCACCATCACTCCAACTTCTCTCCCTAAAATGGTCATGTCCCACCAGGAGGCCTGAGAAGGCTCTTCCCAATCCTGAGGATTGACTAGGCCAGAGGGAAACAAGGTCTATTAGAGCATAATGGTTTTTGATCTTTGGGAAAGGAGTTACCCCTAATCCATACTCTCCAATAAAATAGGAAGCTATCTTTAGTATTTTTAGACTGCTTAAAATTTACAGATTAATTTTATATACTAGTATACTTCCTTTTTAGTATGAAAATGAATTAAAACAAAACAAGAGTATTAAATCACAGGATCAGAACTCTACTAAATTTAATTCTTCTTTAAACATTTTTCCAAGAGATATTCCATAATGAAACAGTTGAAAGCAGATTCCATCTGCTGAGTCCACTGACAAGCCAATGATCATAAGCAATTGATGTGGCAATAGAGAATCACTCAAATATCTACCTTCCAAGTGTATCTATTTTCAGGAGAAAAAGAAAATCTTTATCAAGACTGACCCACTGCCTAACTTAATGAAACCAAGATGCTTTTGTTGTAAACTCTGGCATTTTCCACTTTATGAACAGAGGGTAGTAGAAAACATACAATCATTCAGTAACTAATAGGTTCCTACTCTCTACTCCGTATTACTGAACAGAATAAAATATTTATGGTCTAGTAACTATAAAGCAAACCATCACACTTTTACATGCATTTTCCTGTATATATTCACCTACATAAACACACACAAATACATTTGCCATGCTATTTCACTGACTTTAAATATCAAAAAGTTTACCTTGCCTATAACTAAAACCATGTAAAAGAAATAATCTTGAGGAAGAAAAATCATGAACTTCATGGTCCACACCCAAAAGTAAAAATGATTAAGTGCAACAGAAAGATGGAAGTGAAGACAATAAACTGATACTAAAAGTGAAAAGGTTACAGTGACTAAGGTACCTTTTAGCACTAGTTGACAATTTAGCAGCTGTTTTGCTGGATAGTTTCCCCTCCTTTTTCTTGGGCTGAACTTGTTCTCTTTCTGGTTCCTGCTGAACACTTTCACGTTGGTCTCCATCAGAACTTCCTCCACTAGTGCTGGGACTGTCATCAACTCTTTGGGCCTCAGTGGACATTTTAGATCCTAATTTAAAGAAGCAAAAAGCATTTATTTAGTTGTGGGAAAACTATTAACAAAGTGCCTTGAAAATATAGAAAAAATGAGCCTCAAAGTAGAAAAAAGTAAAGTTAATATAAAATGAATAAATTGGTCATTCACAAAACAGCTTTGGGAATTAACAAAACTTTCATCCACTGAATATACTGAGAAATGAAAACATATAAAATATATACACAAAATGTTCACAGCAACATTATTCATAGAGCCAAAAAGAGAAAACAATTCAAATGTCTACTAACTGATGAATGAATAAACCAAATGGGATATATCTGCATCATAAAAACTACTCAGCCACATAAAGGAATGAAGCACAGTGTCCACATGCTACAACATGGATTAACTTTGAAAAGATATGCTAAGTAAAGGAAGCCAGTCACAAAGGACCCTAAACTGTATGATTCCATCTATATGAATGTCCAGAATAAGCAAATCCACAGAGACAGAAAATTGATGAGTGGATGCCAGGGACTAAGAGTGAGGGAAGAATGGGGAAGACCTGCTAAAAGATACAAAATTTCCTTTTGTGGTGGTGAAAATGTTCCAAAATTAGAAAATGGTGATCTTGCACAACTGTACATACTCTATAAACCAGAGTTATACATTTTAAAAGGGTGAATTTTATAGTATGTGAATTATCTATATATATATATATAAAAAGCCGGCGACCGGAACGCTGTAATGACTGAACGACTGGTCACTACGATGCCCACTTTGGTCAGTGAACCTGCCTAATTTGGGGTGGGGCTGGCCAGCCAACCTCCCGCAGCCTCTCCCCCAAGCAAGCCCTGCTGCTAATCAGCCTCTCCCACCTGATCAAGAACAGGGCAGCCAGCCAACCCCTCCCCCTGACCAGCCCTGCTCCTGACTGGGCCCCCATCCCATCAGCCCCTCGGCCCCACATACACCAATCGGGAGCAGGGCCAGCCAGCCAACCACCCACAGCCCCTCCCCACGGCTAGTCCCACCCCCAATCAGCATCCACCACCCCCCATGGTCCCTTCCACCAGCCAGCTTTGCCCCAGAACACCCTCCCAACTCTGATGAGGGGCAATGCCAACAGCTACCGCCCACAGCCTCTCCCCTGATTGGCTCCCACACCAATTGGGAGCAGGGCCCACCGGCCAATCACCCACGGCTCCTCCCCTCTGGCTGACACAGCCCTGATTGGACCCTGATCAGGGCAGGCTGGCCAGCCAACCTCCTGTCATCTCCTCTTCCCAACAGGCCCAGCCCCAATCCGGGCCACCTGGACCCCACCTGTGCACAAATTCGTGCACTGAGCCTCTAGTACTCAATAAAGCTATTACCATTAAAAAAAAAAAAAAATGAGGGCCCATTTTACACTAGGCTCAGTGCTAGGCAATTTGGTCCCACAAACATGAGAAATTTTATCTATTGGGTAAACCAACTTGTTAAATGCTATCAGGTTAGTAAAAAACAGCTACAGGAACAGGAAAACGAGGGACACTTTCCCATTCACATACAATGAACACATGCTCAGGACAGGGCTAAGATTAAAAGCTTTTCAACTAATAGATGGTTTTCAGTAACCTTTGTGATAACAGAAGAACACAGAGGCCTGCATGATTCTAAATAAAAACTGAACCGTATAATGGTGTCAGCATTGATCCAGCAATATACCAGCAACCATGTTTCACAAGAGATAGAGACTGTATTAAGACACAGAAGGATTCCTTTTTCCCCCCCAGTCTGAATGAAATATCCCTCAAGGCTTTCAAATTCCCTTTGCTCTGAGTTCACGTTCCCCAAGCAGCTCTGATTGCCAACTCAATTTCCTCAGTACCTTGATACGTAAGTAGCTGTTATAATCTAAATAGCAGACATTAAAAAAAAGACTGCAGTAAGTGAAAAGGAATATCCCATCTCATCTGTCATTCTATCATAATTAATTCCTGAATTTGAATACTAGAATACATCCCTTAAGACCCAACTAGCTTAGAGTGTACTGACAAATCCAAAACTAAACTGACAAAGCTGATGTCTAGACTCTAAAAGGGCCCTGTGCTCACCACATTACTGTCCCTTAATAACCACTTTGAGCACAATATAACTATCTTCTCAAGCTCTCTTCTTTAAAAAGAAACTGAGCTACATACCTATAAGAAGTGACCTTACCAAAACAAATGTAGCTTTAAAAATCACAATTAAATGGAACAAATTCCTTTTCAAAAGATACTGTATTTCTCCTAACCAAATTAGGACTTGAAAGAAACTATATTTGATTTGATCAAGGATAATAATTAATATGTAAAGGATGCCTCAAATAAAGCACTGTTTTTTATCGTTATAATTAGTCCAAATGTATAGCTAGTTGACAAATGATGTAAATTCGTCATCATCAAAGATTCAACTTGTAGCTTGCTCTATCAAAGAGATTTCATATTACCGACCTTTAATGGATTGAAATTTTTATGGTAAGACAAACCAAAGAGCATTGCAAGAGAATGGAAAATTCGGGAAGCACAGAGAAGTGAAGAATCCAAAGAAAATACTGAGTGCTTTGAATGAGATATCACACAAATGCACCACCGCCACCCCTCTCGACTCTCCTACCTCACCCCCCCACGCCACATCAAAATAGGTCTGCCCAAGCAGCTCTGAAACACACTGACAGGGAAATCTGACTGCTTTTCTACCTCGTCTGTAAATGGAGAGCATCAGTCTCCACAGCTGTGACATCTTTTATGAGCACTTAATATGAGACTTTAATCTATTAAAGTCACTTAATAGAATACTGAAATTTTAGATCAGTATGTTTCACGTCTAGCTCTAACAGTCCTAACACATTTCTCGCTTCTTTTTTTTTTTCTTCATTTTTATTTCATCTTAATTCTCATCCTTGGACTCGAGATTGTTCTCAGCTTACTTCTTTCAGTTACAATATATCAGAAGTTTAAAATCTTGTAAGTATGTACATAATAGTAATTAGATAGAACAGACGTGCATGGGGTCAGAAAGAGAAAAATTCTCAGGGAAAGGCCCTAGGATATGACAAAATGCTACCGGCAATATTTTAAACAATGTGAAATGAATGAGAAATCACTTTACACATCTTAAACCAGAAGCAATTCATTACATGATAAATATATGGAAACCTAAATAAAATAAAAGTGTTTGTTACTAAAGCTGGAGCTTTGGTTTAATACACTATGTCTAGAGTTTCATTATATTTGTATATTTCATTAGCTACAAAGCTACATATGCTTAATATCCTTAATTATGTGCATTTACACACTAACAATGCCATGTGTATATAATATTCAGTGATATAATTAATATAAGCTATAAACTGAAGCTCAAATTTCATAAACTGCTCCAGAATAGCAGAGGACTATTAAAAATACTATTTATAATACCCAAGTAGATGTATAACATATAGTATCAGAAAAAAGAGAAAAAAATCCTCCCACTTTTGACATAAGATACTTATTTCATCCAAATCTTCACCTAGGAATGGTAAATTCATCTGAGGTCACTGATAACCACTACAGAACCTTTTAGAAACAAAGTTTTCATATCTTTATTAAATACTGAGAGCAAGGAAAATTTCTGCTGGTTTTGTTTTTTGAATTACTAATTACAGAAAGAGTGTTTTTAAAAATTATTGCACCATCCAAGCAGCAACTTATTTTTATGAAAACAATAGTCTATAAGCATTTTAATTAGTTATAAGTATAAGGTTGGTGTTTGTCTAGAGTGCAAATGAATAAAAATTCCTGAATTAAAACTCGTTTACCCTAGCTCAGTTGGTTAGGCCTCCTCATCCCCTAAGATTTCAGGTTTGATAGTAGGTCAGAGCCCAGCAAGAATCAACCAATGAATGCATAAATAAGTGGAACAACAAATCGATGTTGCTCTCTTTCAAAAAATCAATCAGTAAATTTTAAAAACTCTTTAAATGTTCTCTAAAAGCATCATTTTAAATTTTTCTTTAAGATTAGTTCCTATATAGCTACTTTGATCCAAACATCTAATCTAGAGGGAAGATAAATTTAAATTCCAGGTCTATAAATAGAGCTACTGATCAATGATAGTTTTGAAATATTAAGATATTTCAATTTATATTTTTACTTTGGACTTGGTGCAAAACTTGGTTTCTAAACATAAAATAGTAAGGTAGACTTTCTTCAAATATGTGCTAAATTAGTGGTATTGTTCCTTCTTCAACACACAAATTACCTAAACCTGTATTAGCTATGTATCTATGTTGGAATTACAGTCCTGGAAATTAGCAACAGAGTGAATGAAACTCACATGTTCCATAAAGATGAAATAATTTGGTTCTAAATATTATTGATAACATAAAAGCAACTAAATTCACTCCATAAATCCGGATTACTGTCCAGATAAAGACTCATAACTGTATCTTGCGGTATAAAACTGCAAATGCAAGTGTTCCTTAGAGCTTTTGAAACAGGAAAACGCTTAATTCTGTGAGTTGATATTCCTCTATTTGTCTTCCTACTCACGTTTCTAAACTTTTCTAAAATGTAAAGTAATTTATATTACATGCACAACATCTAGCAATATCCAGCTTTTAACTTATGTGTAAAGATACACAGAAAATAATTATGGAACACTGATTTTTTGAGGAAGATGCTCTATTCTGGGGAAGATGGAGTGGGGTATGACATTATATGAAAACCTTCCATCAAGGGCATCTGCCCATACACCAAGGAGCTTCCAAACTGTCTGGGTAAACAGAAATATTTAGATCCCAAGGTCCAGACTGAATTATCCCCTATTCAAAAAACTTACTTTTTAAAGAACCATGGGTTTTTTTAAAAAAAATTAAGGTAAATAGCAGCACTTGCTTTTGTACTTTTTAAGTAGAAATTGTTGAGTAGACTCTCAAGTATACACGATACAAAACGATGAATCTTGAAACCATGCAAGTAGAGTCTAACAGCCACGGAGCCTAGGATGATGTCTTTCTAAAGCGGCCTTAATTTCCTTAAGGGAAGATGGATTGGACTTTTCTGGTTCGTCGTAAGGGGTTGGGGGGTGGGGGAGAGGGAGGGGAAGAGGAGAGAACCACAAGAAGCTTCGCTTTATCTTCATTAGAAATGGTAAAGGGCAAAAGGATCAAAACATTATGAGAGAAGAGAGAGGGAGAAGAGGGGGTGGGGACGGGTTGGGGGGGGGGGGAGTGTGCAGAAGGATTCTAGTTTCCAACCAGGCCAGTGGGGGCTGCAGAGAAGGGGGGGGGGCGGGGGGAGGGAGAGAATGGGCTCCAGCTCCAAAATGTGACAAGCGCTGGGCTTCACAAAAGACCGATACAACACACACTCCACACCAGTGCACACACAACACACATAACCCCCACCCCCACCCCCGCTCCCACCCCCCAAGGTCCTCCCGGGGAGGCCCTCGGGGGTGCGGCGGCGGCCAGGAGGGACACCATGTGCGGCAATTATGCAATTAGGGGAAAATAGCAGAAGAGCCAGCCGGGCACTTTCCACCGTGACATTTATCCTGTACTTTTTTTCCTGCAAAGACTTAGTTCCAGGATGCGGCTGGGAGAGACGGGAAGGGGCTGCTGGAAGGGTGGCGAAGGATGGGGAACTGAGAACAGAAGAGGGCAGAAGATGGGTAGGGAGGGGGTGGGGAGAGCCCAAGGGAGGGGGGGCCAGAGGTGGAAGGGAAGGGAAGGAGGGGGGAGGGGTGGAAAGGGCGAGAAACCGGGGCAGGAGGGAGGCTGGAGGGAGGGGGCGCGGGGCATGGGCACGCGGGGGAGCGGGCAGGGAAGGAACTGGGGCGCGATCGGCGCGATCGGAGAGACCTGCGACGTGGAGGGGAGGTGGGGGGTCGCTCGCCAAAGAGAGGACGCCCAACGGGGGATGGGGGAGGCCCTCCGATGCGAGCAGAGCGAATACCTGAGGGGAGGGGGGGCGCCGCGCTGGTCGCGGGCTAGATCCCAGGCGCGGGGCGTGGGGGGGGGGGGGAGAGAGCGCGGCGGAGGCGTGGGGAGGAGGAGGAGGAGAAGGCAAGGGAGGCCCCGAGTCCTTGGTTGTCCCCGCAGACCGTCCAGTCACCGGGAGCCCGGACCACGCACCGGACCGCCCGGCCACGCCTGTCCCCGCCGCGGTCGCGCCCGCCCGGACTCACCCTCCGCGCTGCCGCCGCCGCCGCCAGCCGTCCCAGCTCAGCTCCTCCGGCTCCCGAGGCCGCTGCCCGCCCGCCCCGCGCTGCCGCGGTGGTCGCCCCCGGAGTCCTGGAAAGTGAAGCCACCGCCGCCTCCGAGAGAGCCGCTGCCGCCGCCTCCGCCCGGCCGTCCGCGCGCGCGCCCGCCCGCCAGTGCGCGTGCCCGCGCGCCTGCCCGGGAGAGACCGCGAGAGCGCGAGCCCCACGTCGGCCGCGCCGCGCGCGCGCCTCCCGCCGGCCCCCCCCCCCTGGCCGCCCCGCCCTCCTCTGCCCGGCGCGCGACCGCGAGGGGCGGGGCCAGCGCGTGCGCGTGCGCGGGGGGCGGGGCGAGCGCGCGCGCGGGGCGGGCGGGGGGGGGCGGGGGCTGGGAGGTGGCAGGGAAAAGTAAAGTGACAGCAGAGTCCTGCGGGCGGGCGGCCGGGGTGGGCGAGGGGCGTCCCACGTTCAAGGGCCGGCAGGGGCCGGGAGGGGTGAGGGACACCGAGGCCGACGGGGCGGCTCGAGGGAGGGGACGCGGGGACCTTGACGGACACGCGCATTAAAGGGACGCGCTGGCCGGGCGTGGGAGTTTTGCACCCCGATCCCCTGCAGCCCGCGGCTGCACACTGGCCCAGAGTGGCTGCAGGGTCTGACTCTGTGAACACGCTGAGCCCACATGCACCCGAGATGAGAGAAAACTTCGCACCGGCCTGGGAAGTTCGCCCAGGATGAGCCCTGTCTCTCTGCACCCTGCACTGCACAACACGAAGGTCCCTCTGCCTTTGGCCTGAGCCTGGCCCAGAATGGACCACAGTAGCCATTTAGCCTTAGGATGTTGGGGGTGGGAAGTGGGGGAGGGGGGGGGGAAGAGAGCACACTAACAGTGGGAATGGAAAGCTGCCTAATGCCCAGTTGAAAAGTATGGGAACAGCAGCAGTTCTGTGGGTGACCCAGAGAATGTTAAGTTTCCCTAGAATCTTCACCCCCAAATAACCATTTAAACACACACACACACACACACACACACACACACACACACACACTACCCCTGCATTGCAAACTCAGCTTCCACAAAAGTTCCCCCACCCCAGCTCCTCTTGCCAGCTGAGGGCTAAGGCTGCTGCCAACCCTGTCCTGTATGGAAAGAGCTGTCACTGTGCGTGCACTGCCCAGACAGGGCTGAAGTCAGCCCCGCAGAGTCCACCACAGCACAAGCAGCCTACTGAAGTCAGTGCAGCAATACCCCAGGGGCAGAAGGGAGCAAGTCAAGATCCATGTATATGTCGGGAACTGAAAACCCTCTTGTCAAATGCCTTCTTCAAGAATTGACTGTCGCCAGGACCGGTTTGGCTCAATGGATAGAGCGTCGGCTTGGGGACTGAAGGGTCCCGGGTTCGATTCCGGTCAAGGGCATGTGCTTTGGTTGCGGGCATATCCCCAGTGGGGGGTGTGCAAGAGGCAGCTGATCGATGACTCTCTCTCATCGATGTTTCTGACTCTCTATCTCTCTCCCTTCCTCTCTGTACAAAATCAATAAAATATATTTTAAAAAAAAGAATTGACTGTCACTTTATAATATTCCTGGAAATTGCCAAAAACAAGGATTGGCTTCCAGCCTCCATAAATAACACTGAGCAATAAGTAGGTGCGCTCCTGTGTATCACTTTGATGCATTGCTCAAGGTTGTGAACAGGCCCCATTTTCCTTGAATTCTAAAATATATATTGGAGGATTAGAAATTTGCATATCCTGGGATCATCATCAATTGTATGGCCCCCTATCCTCTCACATGGTACCATATATTAGTAGGAAAACATGACACAACACACCAAGTTTGTTTTTTCATATTTCAAATGTGTCCAAAATTGAGAATTTCATAGACTGCCTAAAATAAAGTGCATACTTTATTTTACCTCATGAAACCTTTACACATTAATATTTTCATTTCAGTGATCGTGTTTCAATATGTTTTGCAACTGTTTGGTAGGGATAAATGACTGAATCCCCCTTTCCTAGGTCTCCATGCTTTTCTCCACATAAACTGCTTCTACGTATTCTCTTAGGTATATATATCCCGTTGGTTTTTGCTCGTTCACAATGAATATTTCATAAGGAAGTTCTCTTCTGTTACAGAAAATATCAAAGTTGCTTTTTAGTCCTGGTCACTGGCGGCTGGGGGCCAGGGATGCCAGCGAGGTCAGCTTCCAACTTTATGAAGAAGGATTGGAACAGTTTCCCTGCTTCAATACTGAAGCTGTGGTTGCTACAGTACTTCATTTATCTGGAGACGTCTTAACCGCTATATGCCTGAGTGAATGAAATTAACCTCTTTTACTGAGTTTAAGAAGGTACACTACAAATCAGAGCTACCTTTTTCATTGGTTCAAGGACAATATATTGAGTAACAGACACTGTCTAGAATCTAGACTCTAGATGGTTAAGATATGGCATTGAGGAAAAGAGGAAACCCCGTGTCCTTGACCCTTCTCTTTGTTTTATACAGGACATCCAATTCATCAGCAAATGCTGTTAACTCTGCTTTCAAAAACATATCCTGAAAGTACCCACTTCCTCCCACCACTCTCCCTCCAATTAATACCCTGGTCCAGTGGCTGACAAACTCATTAGTCAACAGAGCCAAATATCAACAGTACAACGATTGAAATTTCTTTTGAGAGCTGAAAACCGACTTCTGTGCATGGGCCACGAAGTTTCAATCTCATGTACGTGCCCGCCGGCACATGGTATTTTGTGGAAGAGCCACACTCAAGGGGCCAAAGAGCCGCATGTGGCTCGTGATCCTCGGTTTGCTGTCCACTGCCCTGGCCTAAGCCACCACCAGCTCTCAATGATTTCCTGCCTGATTTTCTTTCTTCCCCTATCCACTCCCCACCCACCGTACACCCTCGCTCCCTCATCCCCACACGGAGCAGTCTGAGTGATCCTATGGAACATAGGTCTCTCAGCAGGACCTCCAGTGTCTTCTCATCCTAGAGCAGCAGCCAAAGTCCTGACAATGGCTGCATGGCCCTGACTGATCTGCCCACCATTCCCAACCAGGACTCCTCGGACCTCGTGGCTGTACAACTTCATCCTATCCTCATCTCCCTCCAGCCAGCTAGCCTCCTTGCTGTTAGAGAACCCACCAAACATTGCTCTGCCTCGAGACTTGTGACTTGTAATTTTCTATCTCTAGAACATTCTCCCCTCCCACCCCTCCCCACAGCACTTCCTGTCCCCCTCCTTTGCTTTATTTATTTTTTTCATGATCATCATGATAAATCTGACATACTAAATTTCTTTCTTATTTGTTTATTGTAGTTGTCCCTTCTCCCGACTTCTCCCTCTTTCCTGCCTCCACATATAAGCATGTTGAGAGCAAGGATCTTTTTTGGCTGGGGTTCCTTGGTATATATATTTAATAAATACTGGCTGAGTGAAAGAAATTGACTTCTTTCAAGTTGATGGCAATAATAAACACTGTTTTCATTTCTTCAATAAGAATAATTAGCATTTACTTTGCTTTTCATTTGTACCAGGCTGAGTTCTAGCACTTTACATATACTAGCTCACAGACATCCATAAGGTCTCTTTCATTCCATTGGCCTTGCTGTACCGATGAGAACACTGAAGTGCAGAGATTAAATTCCTTACCCACAGGGATGCCGCTAGCTAGAGAATAGCAGAGCTGAGATTTGAAATCAGCAGTTTGGCTCGGGAGTCTGTGAACTTCAGGACACGTTAGCATGAGCCAGTGCTAACAAACATATATTTTACTTGCTTTTTCTCAATTCCTTTCCCCTGAGACCCAAATTTAGTCTCCAAAGCAAACAGCTCACCTTCCTTGTACTTCCTGCTCTGGTCCAACAATCTATCATCATGAGTTCACTCTCTCCTTTCCTGTACTTCTTATTTCTGAGCTTTAATTTAGAGCCTACACTTTCTCCCCTAAAATTGGCAAATAGGATTTTTTTGGGGGGGTGGGAGCAGGAGGCTTCTTATAACTTTGTTATTGCCAATTTCATGAAGAGGTAGAGTCACAGTCAGTTAAGTTTGACTGGAAGAGCAATAGAAAAGATTTCTCTGAAGATAACTGGGCTAGATTTCAGCAAAAACTCATCATACTGTTAGAGCTGCTGCTTGTTTAGGCAGCTTTTATTCTTGTTAGACACCCAATCATCGGGGATTGTTAAATATTTGGTTTGTACCCCCTGGAGAAAATATCACATTACGTTCAATGTACCAAAGACTAAGACCCTGAGAGAAGAGAATGAAAGACAACAATCACTTGCTTATAGCCTGGCTTGAGAAGGGCGGTTTCGGAAACCCTGTGGTTACTCTGAATGTCATAGAAACGTAAGAAGGGCAACACCCATGTGGGAAAATTTAAAGCTCTGACAGAACCAAGATCCAAGAATTACCTACCAACAAGGAGGCAGGCACCAGGTGCTTAACAAAGGTTTGTTGCAAAAATGCATAAATGAATTCCTAATGGGAAATGGAAGAGTGCTGAGGACAAATACCCAGACTTCCAACACTTGATCAGGGACTACCTATGCTGTTATGTACAATTGTATATGTTGCAAACTGCAAAATATCAGGGGCGCCGATTGCTTAAACTGAGATGCAAACACAGAACCGACTGCTCCTCTTTCCCCTAACCTCTGCCCCATGGCAGTTAGTCTCTAGGATGGTCCCAAGCATCCTTGCTCCCTGGTATTCATTCCCTGGTGTCGTCCCCTCCCACATCATACCAGGGTTAGCATAATACTAAAAAGGGATAGAACAGCACTTCCGAAGCTAGCGACCATCACGTGAGCAGCCACACGGAGAGGCCTGTGTGGGTGGGAACTGAGGTCTCCCACTAACAACCACATGAGTGAGCTTGGAAAACAGGTCATTCCACCTCAGCCAAGCCTCCCGAGGATAGAAACCTGCTTGGCTTCTTTGGTGCAACCTCATGAAAGACCCTGAGCCAGAAACGCCCAGCTAAGCCACCGTTGAACCTTGAGATAATAAATGTTTGTTATTTCCAGCTGCAGAGTTTGAAGGATAATTTGTTATGCCGCAGCAGGTAATTAATATACATGCTTTCTGTTCTCTAGTGATGAAGTTCCCTCCTCGAGTCCTCTATGCATCAAAGATGT